AGGAGACCCTCAGCTAACACCACCTAGCAGCACAACTCGTAACTAGAAAGCATGCGCGCGCAACAGGTCGTTTCCGGTTATTTTTGGGTCCCCCTTCGTACAACAGCTGACAAGGGTGACTTGACAAGGGTGAGAGTTGGAGTGGTAAAAGTACAATGGAATTATTTTCAGATCAGGAAATTTAGGAATGGAAGTTCTTACAATGTTACTATAATTTTCTTTATTGAACTGTTATTGTTTCCATTTTTATTGGCCTTGCTGTGGCACACTGTTGAAACTCGCTGGTCTAGACACTGGGAGACTCATAAGTAACCCATAAAAATGTTTACATAACAAGTGACACAACAGAAACAGCTGCATTTCTTTGTGCTGCTATCTCCCTTGCATCATATTCACCAAGCACTGTGTACCTGTAAAGTCAATTGCTATGGAGCAGTGTAGTTGGGTTCCTCCCTTTATGTAGTCCATGAATGAGTGTATCTGTCGAATCTCAAAAAAGTCAAGGCTGATCAAACCGGAATGTGTGTATGAAGAATTCTTCTTCTGCAAACACAAACACAGAGATACAATGAAATCCCCATATAAAGTTTGCCTCAGGGAAAAGATTTCTATCTTATATTAACTCATTAAAGACCGGTGATTTAAATATTTAAATTTAAAATTTAAATCACCCTGGGGATCGGCATTATTAAACCTACTATCCTAACTTGTGCACTGTTCAATTTAAAAATTAATATAAAATCTCCTAATTAATTTTATGAACTAAAATTTTTGGAGAACACTTACCAATGCTCCTAGAAGTGCTTGTGAATGTGATATTTCTGGAAACGTTCCACTTTGTGAAGTGGCATTACACAGAGCTTGAAATTTAGACATACTCCTTTTGTTGTGAACTGCGCAAACAATGGCATTGCCTAGAAGGATGCTTCCCCTTGGAATGTAGACTCTTCACAATTTTCACGTGGGTACATTTCCACATATCACCTGAGAGTCGCCCTGGGGGATCCACATGAGGCTTGCGTGGGGTGGGAGTTGATGGGCCCGGTCGCACTAAGACTGCATCTGACTCTGGTTGTGCCGCCACCATCTGGTCTGTAGCCCAGGCCTTTGCCACATTCATCAGAAATGCTTTATATTTCAATTTCGAACCAGGGTTCAGATTTTTTTTAGATTTTTTGCTGTCCCCGCAATCTTACTACCCGCATTTGCCTCGGAGCTACTGTCACTTTTACTGTCTGTGGCCACAATTCTTTGTTCTCCCCTGTCACTACCACTGTCTGAGTCACCATCACTACGCATCTCACAAGGCACGTAAGCTAGCAAGCTAGCTCATCGGAGAAGAATTTGTCCTTGATCCATAACCCACCACTAACTACTGGCTGGTACAAACAAACTGAAGACAGGCAAAGCATTTTCCATTAGAGGGGGTTAAGAAAACAGCTAGGTCATGTTACAGAATACTAAGCAAACATTCCAGAGTTTTATTACAACCTGGGTGGCGCCAGAGCAAGGTATAGTGTGTTACAACCTAACGTGTCCTAAAATCATGATATCATGCGACCGGTCCATCACATTTAAAAGCCAAAAACAGGATATCATGCGACTGGTCCTCAAACTGTTAATATCTTAAAACCAGAAAAATCTCAAAATGGGATTATACAGAATTCAGACAGAAAATTATAATTCCACTATTAATTCCAAATATTTGCTTCACTCTAACAAAAAATGAAAAAGTAAATTACACACAAGTTTAAAATAACGGATAATACTATATGAAATGCCCAATTATACAGCAATTGCTATTTACAGCCAACTTCTTTCTTCTTTGTCCAGATTCTAATTTAGCAATCAATTTATAATATATGTACAATATTTATGTAATTAAATGCAATTTATATGCAAATTTCAACATAAAGAAAGAGTTCCCCTGAAAACAAAATATGCATGACACCAAGATTACCTGAGTATACAAAAAACGTTTAACACTGGTGTGTTGCTTTATGTACTTTCCCACATGCACCCACTCAAGACCGAGTCGATGACTTGGAAATTAAAGATCTCTTTGGATGAACAAAATGGCGCAAAAATATTGTATTCACCAGAATAAAAGCCAACTCAAAATATCTGAAAACATACTACACTTTGAGTCACTTTCTTCTCTCTCACATGTACTGTCTTTACCATTCCCAGATTCATCGCCAGCTTCCGAGTCATAGCTTTGGTGGTTATTCAGGTAATCTCTTCACAATTCATTCCTCCTGACTTAGAAACATATTTCTGTCTCTCTTTCTGTCTACCTGGTATGCTGACAACATCATATAGGCTGAAAGTTAGCCTTCACTGCATCTTAGAAACATCAACCCACTAAAAGTTAAAAATAAAAAATAAGGAAAGGATCATATATTTTTCACATTCAAATTGCAGAGTGCTTTTCTTAACTCTGGAAATAGGAGAAAAACTTTGTCTTCTGGTAAATGTGATACTAAATGAAGGTACAGATTTGATGTCAGGTTTAAATTTTCAATCATTAAATGGTTCTGAACACAAAAACAAGAAACACCAATTAGGTGTTACACATCATACAGCTTTAGCTGGGACCATAAAAAAGTGAACACAAATTTGGGGGAACATCTTACGACAAAAAAAGTTAAAGTGGGATCTGGTGCATACATGGAGTTAGAAAGAAAGTCTTAGCCTCATAATGGCTACCTATTCGTTCCATTCCTGGCATTTCCAACTGTGGCAGAGGTGACGAAGACTACTCATGGGCAGGCTCCACTACCCTTGATAACAAGACGATGAGAGAATGAGGGCCAACATAGGGACTCACAGTGTGGAGTATAAGGTTTGCTCTAAGCCAAAATGTGGACACAGTGTTCCTCATATTCATATCATATTTGTCAGAGATGAAAGAAAGGAAAGGCACATGGAATAGATTTAGCTGGTCTGTGGCACTCATGACCCACTCTTATCCCTACACAAACCCTCCCCCTAAATTTTTAACATACGAGTAATGTGACATGATGTCTAAAAACAAGATACTTCAGAATCCTGGAATCACAGAAATGTTTCATAGGTGTCCATTGCTAAGTAATATCCTCTTAAAACATGTTTCCGTGGCAATGTATATGCACAAACAGTAAAGCTGGAGGCAGTGTTTTCAAGTTTGTCTCCAACAGACCAACATTAGTGAACATGCTGGAGCCTGCGATGTCAGAAGAGGGAGTCCACAATTAGACAGCCCAGAACCAAGCAACATGGGTGACAGTACAGCCAGCAACAACTCAAGCAAGAGCAGTACAACAAACTGTGAAACTACAGTGAGCACATCTAAACTGTGCAACCATTTGTAGATAACAAAAATCAGTGTCCAACAAATCCAATTAGCTACCAGTACCTATAGTTTACTCACCTTCATATGACAATATGTACTCTCAGAAATAGCAGCAAAATTATGACCATCATCACATGCAGAGAAATCAAAACTAACTTCATGCAGGTGAGCCCTTCTTGAGAAGCCTTCAATTTCGTAGCTACTCAAGAGCTTCCCGCAATTTACGGAACCTGAAGGTCCATTACCATGTTCACGAGAACCCTCCATCGGTCCCTATCCTATATGCATTCCTCTTCTCCCCTGGTTTGTGCTACATAACCTGCCATCTCATCTTCCTTGACTTGATCATTCTAATTATATCTGTCGATGCATACACGTTATGAAGCATCTCATTCTGCAGTTTTCACCAGCCTCCTGTCACTTCATCTGTTTTCAATCCAAATATTCTCCTCAGCACCCTGTTCTCAAACACACTCAGTCTACGTTCCTCCCTTAATGTCAGAGACTAAGTTTCACACCCATAGGCAAAATTATAGATCTGTGTATTCTAATTTTTATGATTTTTGAGAGCAGATGTGAAGACAAAATGTTCTGGACTGAATGGTAGCAAGCATTACCTGAGTTCATTCTCCTCTCAATTTCCTCCTGAATCAAATTTTGATTAGGAGGCAGAATAGTGCAGTTGCTATAGTGACTGCCTATGGGCTGGATGACCGAGGGGTCAGAGTTCGAGTCCCAGTAGTGTCAAGAATTTTATCTCCTCCACGTTGTCCAGATCGGCTCTGGGCCCCACCCAGCCCCTTATCCAATGGGTACGGGTGCTCTTTCCCTGGGGGTAAAGCAGCAGGGGTGAGAAGCTGACCACTCACCTCCAGCTAGTGATAAGCTCAACAAACTGTGGATCTATACATCCACTTCCCATGTGCCTTCAGGGCATAGCGCTTAATCAGTCAATTACAGGAGTCAACTTTACCTTACCTTCATTAAATTTTGATTCGTTATTGTTGTTCCCAAATATCTCAACTGTGCCACATTTTCATAGGACCTGTCAGTTATCTATATGTCATGATTTCACCCTGCTTTCTGATGATGTGACAGCAAACATATACTTATTTTTCTCTTGTGTTTCCTTCTAGACCAACCTCCTTACTAGTGTCAGTTAAAGTTTCTGTGTTTTTATGTTATCTATGTTATCACCCAGTTAATTCACATCATTAGCATAGACCAGCAGCTGATGTGCCCCATTTAATTTTGGCCCCACCTGGTTTCCTGGACTTTCCTAATGACATATACTAAAACAAAGTGGAAAAGCAGTGGTGATAAAGCATCTTCCTTTTTTACATCATTCCAGATAGGAACATTATCAGACAAATGTTTACTTAAATGGACTTCACTATATGTTTTGTTTAAACATATTTTAATCAACGTAACTAGTTTCATGGGTACCCCAAACTCTATGAGAATGCTGTACAGTTCTTCCTCCTAATGAATAACAGGCTTCATTGAAGTCTACAAATAGGTGATGTACTGTCTCACTGTACTCCCATTTTTTCTCCACTATATGACAAATGGAAAAGATCTGATCAGTAGTTGATCTGTTGTGTCGAAACCCACACTGATGATATCCAATAATTTCATCTATATATGAACTTAGCCTTGAGAGAAGGATATTGGATAAAATTTTGTATGAAGCCGGTAGCAGTGATATCCCACGATAATCACTAGAGTCACTTTTGTTTCTCTTCATGTGAACTGGTACAACAATAAATTCCTTCAATGATCAGGATATTCTTCCTTATTCCAAGTACAATTATTCCAATCTAATCTATACAAAAGACAAAACAAAAACAAACTCTGTGGCTTTAGTCCGCAAGCAAACTATACCGACTGAGCGACTTCCACTTGTCAGTGAAGTTAGTGTCAACTTTAGTGGAAAGAGGGTGTTGCATGTTCAGAGCAATGAATTCCCATCTCCTCTCTTAATTTCAGTTCTCTAGACTGGAGCCACTACTTTTCCATTCAAGTAGCTACTCAATTATCCTTACAAGGCTGAGTGGACCC